ACCCAAGTATGATGTACAACCAAGCTTCAGAACGTGAGTGAACACTGTGCTTTCATTGGCCTGTGTTGTATAAAGTCATAAGATAGTTGTAAGGGATAATTTAGCTGTAAGAGACAATAAAACAATCTACTTTTTACACTGCAGTGGTTGAGATAAAGAGATGGATGGAGGCAGGTAGAGTCTACAAATATGTGAACACTAATCTACAGAAACTGACTCATCAAGTTGGACTGTAGAAAGAGAAATGAGAGGGGCTACTCAGGAAAGACCATGTCTGAACTACAAAAAACAAAATGTTGTAGGGAAAACAAAATACAGCAAACCAAACACCAGGAAATGGAGGTGTGGCAATAACACCAATGAGATACATCAGCCTCCTTGAGGAAAACAATATGTGAGTAGATTCTCCTATTGAAATGAACGGATTTCATGGTAAGGTTTGCTACAGAACTTATAACATGGTGTGCTAATGACTCAGCCTGACTTACCAGACAACACTAGCTATTTTTTCCATCCTTTTGTGAAAATGTGGATTCCATTCTAGGGGGCTTTATAAATTATAAGAAGTCTCAAGAAATACAGATAAAAAGAACTATGATGCTGAAATTGAGACAGGGATAAAAGAATAATTACATGTAGTGTTGTAGTTTAAAGAAATCCTCGAAGATTACCCTTAAACACATGTCTCAAGTTGAGTGGCATGACACATCAACTGGGTATTTATGTAAGTTAGAATGATGTTTGTCTGTTCATCTCTGAATAAGAAGAGTTTTGTGTTTATTTTGATATCTTCGGAATTTTCTCAAATACTTGGCAATGAAATCTGCAACTTTTGTGAGTGACAATGATTATGAAGCAGTCTTTCATTAGCTATTGGAAAATAGTGTAAGGGGCATTCCCACTCATGTGTTTATATCTCCATTAAAACATCTCTGTTCTTAGTCATTTTCATACACAGATGATGAACTTTAAGTATGTTGGTACCTAGCAAAATTAATGGTTTCTATTATCTTTTTAAATTCCATTAATATTTTAGAGGACAAAATAATGTTCTAGTATGAAATGACAAATATCCACACATGTATGGCATTGTATTTTGCTCATGTTCACCTCTGTTGCCTTTTGTATGTCCCTCCTTCCAAATATTCTCCTTTATGTTCATGTCTCTCTTATATAGACATACATATATGAAGAACATAAATATATATGAGAGAAATATATATTCATATGAAAGAAATTTTGCAGTATTTGAGTCTGACTTATTTATTTAGCACAATAATCCTCAATTACTTTCATTTTTTTAAAGAACATAATTTTGCTCAAATAAAACTATGGTTCCAGAAAGGACTTTGGGAGCACATTCCCCATGGAAGAATACTCTCTTAACCTAGAGACAGGAGGGAGGGCCTAGGACCTACTCCAAATGACTTGACAGATTTTGATGATCCCTCCTGGAAGGCCTCACTCTCCCTATGGAGTGTGGGGGGTGGCATGGGAGGGGGCCGAGGGCATGGGAAGATGGGAGGGAGAAGAAACTGGGATCGATATGTAAAATAAGAAAAAAATAATAAAAACAAACAAAAAACTATGGTTCCAATTTCCTTTCTGTTGCTGTGATAAATAGTGTGACTAAAAACATCTGGGGGTGGGACTATTTGACTTCTACTTCCAAGTCATACTCTATTATTGAAGGAAGGCAAGGCAAGAACTCAAGCATAAACTCAAAACAGAAATTATGGAGGGACACTGCTTGCTGGTTGCTCAGTCATAGGTTCATGATTTCTTATACAGCCCAGGACTCCTTGCCTAGAGATTATGTCACCCAGAATAGGCAGGGCCCTCCGGCACCAATTAATAATCAATACAGTTCCCATAGACATGGTCATAGGCCAGTCTGATTCAGGCAGTTCCTCAGTTGAGACCTTCCTCTCAAATGACTATAGTTTATGTCAAGTTGATAATTAAAGCCAACTAGGGCAGTGTGTGTGTGTGTGTGTGTGTGAGAGAGAGAGAGAGAGAGAGAGAGAGAGAGAGAGAGAGATGCATGGGCTTTTTCACACGTGAGAGCACACTTATATGTGCTCTCACAGTCTCTGTGAGTTCATGTCTATCAATTATGTCTGGAAGATACTGTTTCCTTGTAATCTCTTCACCTCCTCTTACACATAAATACCTGAGACTTGAGAGGAGTTGTAAGTAGTACGGGTTTTTCCGCCCGCCGCCTGGTATTGTCCTGCCGCTGCACCAGCTCCAAATAATACACAGAGACTCTGTATTTGATATTATGCTGTTGGCCAGGTACTAGTTTCTTATCGGCTAGCTCTGCCTTAGTTATTAACCCATTTGTGTTAATCTATGTGTGTCCACGTGTTCTTCTTACCGGGAGCCGGCTGCCGCATACTGCTCTCTCCTGACTCTCCATCTTGACCCTCCTTACTACTTCCTATTTCCTCCTTGTCTCCTAGTCCCTCCTATCTTCCTTTCCTATTGGCCAACAGTGCTTTATTATTAACCAGTATGAGAAACATATACAGAATGACATCTCCCATCAAGGAGTTTGATAAAGACATGCCATTTAGGGCCAAATGTGTAAAAGTCTCTCATTCTGTATATTTTGGCTCTCTTTGTAAATTATCATATACTGCAAGATGGCTATTGAGTGATGTACAATCTATGGGTATAGCAATGTCATTAGGAATCATTTTATTGATATGCTCCTTTGGCAAAGTAAAATCATTTGGTTATCCCCTACAACTATGACCTATCTAATCTCAGGTTCCTGGTCACTTTAGCAGTGTCTTAGGTTCCATCTCATAAAAAAAAAAAAAACTAGCATAGAAGGATTAAATTGGGGTGAGGTGGAAGAAAAGAGTAAAGAGGGAAATCTGGGAAGGAACAACCAACATGAAAGAATGTCCTGTAAGGAGTACGGGTTTTTCTGCCTGCCGCCGCCCGGTCTTGTCGGGTTGAATTTCCTGGTGTTCATCTGTCTAGGTTGTAAGTTATTTCTCCCTGAATAAACATCTATTCGGCCTATTTGTTTATCCTGACCCTTATTTACCGCAATAATGTCCTTTCAAAAAAACATGGAAACCCACTACTGTAGAAGCATGTGTGTGCGCACACACACATACAAACACACACACACACACACACACACACACACACACACACACCAAAGGAATTCTAGGTGGAGTTACTATATAATTGGGGAAACAATACTTCAAGTAGACATCTTACACAACCAAGTAAAACCTCCAGTACCAGTAATGTGCAACATCTTGTTGAACCATTGGTCAAAGGGATTCCATAGATCCCACCACTAAATATCACAGACTATGGCCAAGGGTATTGGTTATATTTCATAACCTGACCCTATTGCTGAAGATGGAACTTATTTATGTCATCGAATGTAGAGATATCAAACTGATGCCAAACTAGTAGCTACTACTGGAAAGTGTTCATGCTGCTGGAAGTTACTTCACACACCACTGAAGGAGGAAAGTAATCTATATCAAACCCTGTGACCTACAACAGAGACCTTCCCAGGAGATGGACTCATACAGTGCTAGCTCAAATGGTATAGGAGTAACCAACCACTTTTGGAGTAGATTGTGTTTATGGTTTTTAAACCATAAAAAGCATTTGGGTTTTTTGTTTGATTGCTTGCTTGCTTGTTTTGACTCTGTCCTTTGCAAATCATCCACATTGTTCTTTTGGTATCTTCACATACACTGTTGAATTGTTTTTTATTTGTGGCTAGTACATATGCACATGATAGACACATTGCTGCAGTTTGCTAGAACAGTCAGTCTTTTGTGAATTGTTTTTCAGATTTTTAGGATTTTTTTCTTCGAATTAAAAGAGAAGAAACAGTTGAAGTATGTTTCTTCTATAAGTCTTTAACACATACCCTGATAAGAAACAAGACTGGGACAGGAACAAAAATAGATACATGTTTTTATATAAATGTCTCTTTTGTGGAACACTTTCATGGAATTTACAGAACGATCACTAATTTCACTAGTCTTTGTTAGACTAGAAGTTTTACTTTCTACCTTTTATGTAAATCAGTAAAAGCAATTCTCAGGAGGTACAGAGACACAGATAACTTTAGTTCCAGCCTAATCCCCTCTGGCATTTTGAGGTGTACACCTGTCAGTAAATGGTTGGCTCTCATTTTCCTCTTCATATATTCTATTAGTGAAAACTTCCTTGTGAACTGTCACATGGTTAAAATTCCTTTCACTATTTTTGTTTTAAAGGAAGTTATGTGATTTAGTAAAAATAATTTAGAGTACTGAGTTGCCTACTAGAACAGCTCATATATATGAAGTTCAGCATTGTTTTGATTTTTTAATAGCTGGAAAATTTCTTAATATTTTCAAAAGAAACTTTAAAAGAGCATTATCCAGAGGGGATGCTTTGTAGGCATTTGCAGAGGCAGATTCATGCTCACATTTTGTTAAGAGAATGGGTAGTTTCTTTTTCAGATACAACCATCTTGATAACCATCTGCTTTAGCATCACAGTGGTGTTAGCAAAGATTACCAAACAACATTCTTTCTAAGTTATAAACTTGGTCAGTAACTCTTAGAATTGCAGAAAGACAAAATTCTTCTTCCTGTACATAAAGAACTAATGTCTACGTAGTTTTAAAAACAAACCCTGAGCATTGAGCCTGATTTGCCACCTCTCCCTTGACATTTATATTATTCCATAGTAAGGAAATGTCTGGGCATCTAAGGCCCATTGAGATTGTCACGTTAGAGATTCTTTTCCAAAGAGAGTGAAAAAACACTTAGGGATAATGATTTTATTTAGGGTCATGAGTTTGGATGTTCTTGTTTATTTTTACTTGGGGGTCTAGATATCTTTGAAACTGCAGTGATACGTTTTAAAACAAAATGGAGCTCTTCCTGTGTTATCTTTGACTATGGTTTCTGTAGGTCAAACTTTAGCTTTGTTTTTAACCCCCATGTATTCACTGCATTTTTCAGGAGGTTTTATGATGATGGAGCCATTGTCTTGGGCGAAGAAGCGAATGTGCTCGCTGGCATGCTGCTTGGACTCAATGCCATTGACTTCAGGTACCTAGGGCTCAACTCAATGATTTCAGTCCTTAAATGATTATACCTACCAGTTGTTACTCATGATTTTCTTCCAGTTTGCTAAGTAAAGCACAGTTGTACTTTGATATTTGCTTTCAGGTCAACTAGTTTTCAAGTGGTCCTAGAAGAAAGAAAATGAGGTTATTTCTAACTTAAAAGGCTTACTCTCTTAAGAAAGAGATGAGTAGACTATGCCCTGCAGCAGTACTTTGCTGTTAAGGAAGGGAAATTTCTGGATCTTACTCAGTATTTTCAGCTACTGCTGTAAAATGTAAAGAAATAGGTTCAGAACAGATTTAAAATAAGCAAGATTCCTTTCCCCTTGTCTAGATAGAGAAAATGCTAGGAAGATGTCTTGGATACTTTGTACCTCTTGTATTATTAACATTCATTTAGAATATAAAATATTGTTCATTTTTCCTTTTGTTCTCTACAAGAATAATCAGTCCCATACTGATACTAAATGGTAAACATGGTTGTGGTTAGATCACTTTGAAGATTCTGAAAGCATCGTTGTATGTTTAATTTATTCCAAATTATATGTTATATTAAAAGTAAAAAGTTATCTGTACAAAAACTCAAAGGTAAGAGTGAAGAAAGAATATTTTTATAAATAGAATCATTTGAAAATTTTAAGAATATTAATAAGATGAAACTGAAATGACTTGTGGGTTTTGACTTTAAATAGACTCCTATAATTTCCAATGAGGCTCTTTTTCTAGTAACTTACTTTCTCTTCAAAATATCGGTCTCTTCATAAGTCTGGGTTTTTCCTATTGGTATTTTAATAAGCTAATACTATCTTAATCTTTAGGATGAACATGGGAAAGTCTAAAGGTTGTCTATTGAAGTTTTTATTGCATTTATTTATTTGGTATGTGTGTGCATGTGTGTGGGCACCTGTGAATGTGGAGATCAGAGGACAAATTACAGGATACTAGTCTCTTATACCATAGGGTTCCTGAGGATTGAATTCAGGTTATCTGGATTGATGGTGGGACCTTCACTCACTGAGTTATCTTGCCAACCTGAAGATTGTCTTTTGACACAAGAGTGTTGTTAGAGCTTCATGTAGGGTGACCCATCATCTAAGTCCTGTAAGTCCATGTTTTATGTGTTTTTCAGCTTTTTTCTCTTTTAAAAGTTTTATTTCATATTCAGACCACAACATTCCACCCCATGGCATGTCATGGTGCAGAATACATGTAGTCTAACTTTTAAAATTCCCACAGTCTTTTAAGAGTCCCAACACCATTCAGAAGTGTCAAGATTGAAGTATCTTTTGAGTTTTAAGACAGTCTTTTGACTGTGAACCAATGATGAATAAAAAAGTAAATTGCATACTTTAAATATACACTGATACATCCCATTCTAAAAAGGAAGAATGCAAGCATACTGAGGTTGGATGAAGGCAGAAACTTCAGTAGGGAAAACACCAAACTTTGTAGTTCTGTGTCTGTGGCTTTAGCTTCAAAGGGCATAGATGGATCCACCCCTCCATAAACCATGTAGCCTATAATATTTGCCAGTCTCATTGGCTGTTTGCACTCCTAATATGCCTCCTTCCTCAGAATATTATTTCATGGCCCTGACATCTCCAGAATCTTGGAATCTACACTATAACCTTGCCTTCATTTTCACAGCTTCATTCAGTGGCCTCTGAGGGCCTCTTTGCAAGTACCCTAACTTGGCACACTGTCACACATTGCCTATCATCAGCAGTTTTCTGAATTATTGTAATAAGAGTCCCTGGTGCCCTCAGACTTGCATCTTTTGTGCTACCAAACTAGACTCACTGCCAAGTTCTGCTTCCAGTTTGTGGATCCTGACCTCCTTAGACCACAGTTTTAATAGTGTCTGTGTGCTGAAACTGGTAAAAAAAAATATTCCCTATACAGTTGATTTTCAACAATAAGAAACCTGTCAGGCTTTCTCCTTTCAATACTTGGTGCCTTCGATGTTGGGATTTTTTTCTTTCCTCAGAGTCTCTTTCCTGTTGCTCTGGTACAGAGCAGACCTCTTCTCCTTCAAGGCATGAATCTCCTTAGCAATTAAAGTCTTTTCTTATCACCTGTCTTGACTGTAACCTTAGCTTCCTAATGCCCTTCCCTCTCCAAACTGCATGATTCCCCCTTTCTAACGCATGGTCTTTTTCCTTGTAGTAATCATGCTACTCCACTAAATGTTATGCTGTCTTGAAATTTCTGCTGCCAAGGAAATTAGTTCATTACTTATAAGTTTGATCTAATGTGAGTTCTCAGAATATGAGCCAAATGCAGCCAGATTGTTTGCCAAAGTATTGCATTAATACTAGAGTCTTTGCTCCTCACTGAAACCTTCTTAGCTGGGTTTCCACCATCCAAGTTTCTCTGGATTGCTCTTACCAGGTTATATTACTACCTCTTTCTAAGTTCCCATCAAAATGCCCATTAAGCTCTGCTTACAGCATTCAATGGTTGTTCCAGCACCAATATACAAAACCTTTACATTCTTTCTATGTTATAAAGGCCTAAAACTACATGGTCTGGTTTATCACAGAAGCTAATACCATTTAGCAATTCTTCACTATTGCTGTGATAAAATTCCCTGACATGTACAATTAAAAAGAGAAGGAGTCTGTAGTTTCAGAGGGATGAAATCCATCATGACAGAGAAGGCATGGCAGCAAGTAGGGACAATATGGTGACAAAAGCAGGAAACTGGAGATCACATTGTGTCCCCACTCAGAAAGCAGAGTTAGAACAGTGAGGCCAAGCAACAAAACCTCAAGCTCTCCCTCACTGACATAATCCCTTCATCAAGACTCCACCTCCTGAAGATTTCATAGTCATCGCAAACAATGACATTGTCTAGGGAACAAGTATGCAAAGCAACCTTTAGGGATATTTATATGCAAACCACAACTGTGTGTGTGTGTATGTAAGTGTGAATGCCCAGAGATTGAGGAGCAACTTTATGGAGTTGCTTCTTTCCTTTCACCTTTATGTGAGTTCTGAAGATTGAACTGCATTCACCAGCTTTTGCTGCAAGTGTCTAACTGCTGAGGCGTCTCCGTTATTGCTCACTGACAGTGTGTGATAGAGTGAAAAGCAAATATATTAACCATATGTTAATGATGTTTGTGAAAATGAAGGAATGCTAGTGTGAAGTGATGCCCCTTTAATTTTGTCCTTGTTATTCAAGCCTGAATAAGTAAATACATACTCTTTATATAAGTATGCTAATAGGAATACTTGAGCAGTCAAAATTTGGAACAAAATCAGAAGGTGACAGTTCATAGGTGATTTTTTTCCTCTGAAATATCACTGTGTGTGTGTGTGTGTGTGTGTGTGTGTGTGTGTGTGTGTGTGTGTGTGTGTTTCTACATTTATATTTTTGGAGGATGTGATTTTTGTTGTTGCCGTTTTAGTTGTATTGAACAAAGTTTTGTTTAAAACTTGGGTAACTGGTGGGTATCACTGCACCCAACTCTAGAAGATGTGTTCTAAGTTATAGTAATCATCAACCAAATAACTTTTTATCTTTTTGCATGTGTGCAAAAGGAGAGATTACTTTACTGGATTAGAGGTGGAAAGGTTCAGATTTCTTTTATTGGCATTGTGAGCCTCACAGCATGCCCTTGGATCTCAGAAGAGGTTAATTAGAGATTAGAGGATTTTCAGTACCCCTTGTAGATCTAAGATCTCTTTCGTTTATTCAGAGTTTAGAAAATCCCTCCTGAGAATTTGTATTTAAGCATGGAAAACAAATCTTCTTTTGAACATTCTCTGGTGATATGTTCAGTGTCCAATAAAAACCTATTGCCAAATAGATGAATGAAATGTAGATTGAATGGCTGTTTGAAGAATAAGGGTCTCCATAGACTCATATATTTGAATGCTTGGTTACCAGGGAGTAGAGCTGGTGGAGGAACTGAGTTGCCAGGATTGGGCTCTGAGGTTTCAAAGCCCAAGCCAGGCCCACTCTCTGCTTATAGATCAGGGTGTAGCTCCTTCTTCAGCAGTACATGTGCCTGCTGCCATGCTAGATGAGAATGGAGCAAGCCTCTGAAACTGTGAGCAAAGCCCCCAGTTAAATGCTTTATTTTGTAAGAGTTTCTGTGGTCATGGTGTCTCTTCATGGCAATAGAACAGTGATTAAGACACAGTAAATTTTATTGTTGCATTATGAAACATGTAATAATATATTAACTTGTCGTATAATACTTGTCATTGATGTTGAAAATTAAATATTTAAGGTATTTATATATATATATATATATATATAACAAATTATGAAAAAAGCATTCTTGTGCAGTTGGAATATTACTAATATGAATATTTATTGTCTGCTTTCTTAGCTTCTGCCTAAAAGGAGAAGGATTGGATGGCACCTTCCCTGCTGTAATAGACTACACACCATATTTGAAGTTTGAGCAAAGGTATTTTGCCATTTTGAAGCATGTTTTTGAAATCTTAATTGTAACTTAATGCTTTGAACAATTTTCATGTGATTTAATGTCTGTATGTAACATTCGTTTCTAATCAGAAATTATTAGTTAGAACTAAGGATATAGCTCAGTGGATGAAGTGCTTGCTTTGCAAGCATAAATTCCAGTTGGCATCATCAAAACTCATGTAAAAGATAGCCATGGTAGAATGGGTATGAACCCTAGCTTTGGGCAGTCAAACACAGGTGGTTCCACAGAACTCATGGCCAGGCAGTCCAGCTGGATTAGTGGGCTGCATAATCAATAGAGACCTTGTCTTAAAAACAAGGCCGAGAGTCATAGAGAAAGATAACAAAAGTTGACCTCTAGCCTCCAAGACAGGCACACACAGAGAGAGAGAGAGAGAGAGAGGAAGACATTGAGAGATTATTAGTGAGTGCTACCTCCAACTGCACTTTTAATATTTATGAAAATAGTCTTATATTAATCTCAGTATGCAGCTTATATAAAAATAGTGATTTATATTGCTATAGTAATTATAAATTAATATAACTGTATAGTAATTGTATAGTATAGTAATTGTAAAAGAATAACTACATGCACTGAAATAACCCATTGAAACTTCAGAAACTTCATTAGATTGTGTCCCATTTTATAGAAATAAATTTTACTACCTGTTGTAAAATTTCAGTTATTTTAGGTAAACTCCATGACAAGTTTATTGACCCTTAAACTATATGTTTCTAAAAACAAAATGTCTAGTAGTGAATCCCACTGCTGGTCTGTATAACAATATTGTGTAAGAAAATTCTGGATTTCCTCTAACTTCATTGAAAATTAAGTAGGTGAAATCTATATAAGTTTTTTGTGTTTTCCTGAAAAATGATCTTGTGAATAGCATGAAATTCTATTTTTCTTAGATACTATAGACAGGCCAAACTTATAAGATACTCTGTAAATTACATGTAATATAGATACATAATCATTGAAAGTATATTGTTGCATACCTAATCTAGGAAAGACATAATTCTCCCTCTCTCTCTCTTTCTTTCTCTCTCTCTCTCCACACACACACACACACACACACACACACACACACACACACGTGCGTGTGCGCACAAACACACTGGGTCTATCAGTAACCCTGGCTATTCTGGAACTCAGTGTGTAAACCAGATTGGCTTCTACTCATAGAGATCCACCATTGGCATGCTCCAATATACCCATCTTAAAAAGACATTTTCTAAAATGTCAGCTGTTTGTGTGTGTGTGTGTAAGTGTATAAAACATTAGAAACTTGTAAATGAGAGTACAGCCCCTGACTCCAAACAAACCTCCACCTAGCAAGAGATTTCAAGTAAAAATATTTGTGATCTTTTCTGGGGACATGTGATGTCAGACCAGAGCAATTATTCTCCCATAAGAGTAGCTTGGTACAGTCTATGGGATCTCTGGCAGTGGAACCAGTATTTATCTCTAGTGCACAAATGGACTTTGGGAGCCCATTCCCTGTGGAGGGATACTCTCTCAGCCTAGACACATGGGAAAGGGCCTAGGCCCTACCCCAAATGATGTGACACATGGAAAGCCTCACCTTCCCTGGGGAGTGGATGGGAGATGGGATGGGGTCCATGAGGGGCATGGGAAGATAGGAGGGAGAGGGAACTGGGATTGATATGTAAAGTAAGATTTTTTTTCTAGTTTTCTAGTTTAAATAAAAATTTTTTTAAAAAAAAGAGTAGCTTAGTAAACCTCTGAGTTTCTTGGGGTTAGTTACATGAGCATGCATGAGGAAAAGTGTGAATAAAAAGCAGCTTCATCGCAGAAAAGGCCACATAGCTATGGTAACAACTCAGAAAAGAATATTCCTACAGTGGTATTCACTGTCTTTATAGCCCAGGAGAGGAACTTAATGAATCAAGGAACTTCTGAGCCTCTGGAGACTGGTAACTTCCATGGGATTAGGAGCCTCCCTCCCCTCGCAAGAGCTGTTTCCATTCCAAAGAAATCATTATACAACAAATAGCTAGCTGTGATCACATTCATCCTGAATGGGCAGAACCTAACGCTGAACTTGAAGAATAAGATGCATCTGAATTAGAAGTTAGGATGTCAAGATACGAGTGGGAAAGGATATTTTTACTGCTTTGGAGACGGCTTAATGAAAACATAAAGATAATTGTAAACACTAACTTTGTTCTCTCATATAGAAAAGTCTATAATAATTATTACAGTGGTTTTGAAAGATAAAGGAAGGGACCTTCTCAACCAGTTCATTCAGGATGATTTTCATGTTATAAATATGATACTCTCAATTGTTGAGTTCTTGCATGTCTGAAAATTTATGTGGTGTCTTCTCTTTATACATTAACCCTAATATGTATATGTAGCCTGTTCAAATACTACTAAAGAATTCTTATCACTTTGTATAAGGGATGATAAAGTGAGGAAAATATGCTCAGGAGCCATTAGCAATTCTGACCATAGAGGTTTCACTCTAAAAATATTTAAACTATGTTAGTTGTTATCAAGAATTCACAGATTGGCAGTGGATTTGACTCATTGGCATGGCAGACACTTTTTTTAATCTGTAAACTTCCTAATATATTTTTTTAATTTCCAAAAAAATTATATATTGTATGTTGATAACTTTCTTCCACACTCACATTCCCTCTCTTTTTCTCACTCTGCCCCCTCTCCTTAGTCTCTGTTGTTTTCCTAGACAGTTTCACTTCTTAAATATCATATATGTGTGTGTGTGTATATATATATATACATATATATATGCACATATATCATTATAAAATCTAGAAATCACCATATTTATCTTTCCAAGGCTGGCTTAATTCGTGTGATATGATTATTTCCAGTTTTATCAAATTTCCTGTAAACATGATTTGTTCTTATTTATGGCTGAAAAACATTCAGTTGAGTATATGTGCCATGTGTTCATTATTCCACTGTTAGAGGACATGTAGGTGGTTTCTGAACTTAGTTATTAAAAGAAGTACTTAATAAACATTGATGTGCAAATATCTCCATGATGCATTGACTTGGAGTCCATGTAGAAGCCCAAGAGTAGTCTATCTGGTTCACATAGTAAACCTAACATTAGTTTCTTGAGAAACCTTTGTACTCACTTTTATCCATCTGAACTATTTTACATTTCTAGCAAAAGCATGTAAGGCTTCCTTTCCTTTTTATTCACTTCCTTGTTAGGATATGTTGTTACCTGTTTTCTTTTTGTCGTCTTCTTCATTATATGCTGTACTAGCTGGTTTTATGTGACCTTAACACAAGCTAGAGTCGTCAGAGATGAAGGACCTCATTTGAGAAAATGTCTCTATAATATCCAGCTGTAAGGCACTTTCTTAGTGATTGATGGGGGAGGACCCCACCCACTGTTGGTGTCGTCATCCCTGGGCTGGTGGTGCCCTGGGTTCTATAAAAAAATCAGACAGATTGAGCAAGCCAACTGGAGCAACCCAGTAAGTATCACTCCTCCATGGCCTCTGCATAACTCTTGTCTAGGATCCTGACCTGTTTAAGTTCCTGTCCTGACTTCATTCATGGATAAACAGTGCTGTGGAAGTATAAGCTGAATAAACCCTTTCTTCCCCGACTTGCTTTTTGGTCATGGGTTTCATCACAGAAATACAAACCCTAACTAAGACATATGGTCTCTTTATTTTTATTTTTGTATTGCTAATTATTTCAGAATTTCATACATGAATACAATGTATTTTGCTCATATTCACCCCCACCCTTCTCATTAATGCCTACATTCACCCCATACCTTTTCCCTTTTAATCTTACAAGGCCTCTTAGTAGTCTAATAACATCCTGAGTTCGGTCTGTGCTGTTCATATACTCACAGCTGTGGAACCATCTCCTGAAGAGACCACACCCTAAAATATTGTCCAACCTTTGCCTGTCAAGTATGCATGCAGGCTCACAAGTCCCTCACCTTTCTATACTGGAATGTTTACTAGTTTGAGACTGTACAGGCAACTTCTATTGCTGTGAGTTCATGAATGCAGTAGCTGTCTCGTGTCCAGAAGATACTTTGTGTGGTGATATATTATTTATGATTTATTAAAGCTTGGCTGAGGATTTAGAAAAAGCTAAGTCAGCCTCAAGCTATAGAAATCAGGTAGTGGTAATACACACATTTAATCCCAGCAGCCAGAAGCTAGGAGGTGGTAGTACACACCTTCTTTAATCCTAGGACTCGGGATTAAGAGATAGACAGATCTCTGTGAATCCAAGATCTGGGGATCTACACAAGATTAAAGCAGCCCTAAAGAGAACCAGCTCACACAAAGATGATCTCAGCTCCTGGGATCACATGCCTTTAATCCTTGCACTCACTACAAGGGCATAAAAGATAGGAGCAAGGTCTTCATTAGTCAGTATCAAGCATTCATTCTCCAGCCATATGGAAGATAGAAAGACATTGAGGTCTCAGGATTCTCCAGCCATGCTGAGGAGAGGTTACATACAGTCTGAAGTTTGATGGAGCCAGGATTACCTTTCATTCTGAGATAGAGTGAGAGTTAGTGCCCAGCTGCTTTACTTTTCTGATCTTCAGCTTGAAGCTTGAACCACACTATCATTCTCTGGGTCATTTATTTTTCATGTTGTGCTTGGGTCATCCTCAGTCTCTTTCCTATTACAATCTTTCTACACTCTTCCTTGGGTCCCTGATCCTTGAGTAGAGAGGACATGATACAGATGTATCCAATTTATGGCTAAGCACTCCAGGGACACTTACTCTCTACACTTTGAACATTTGAGTTTTTGCCCCACATAAATTTCTCTGTTTAAATCTCAGAGCTGCATTAACCTATGGGTGTAGAGATAAAAATTTAGAAGGAAGTTTGATACTATGTCCATTTATCAAATTAACAGTAATAGGTTTATCTCCAGGGCCTGTAAGATCACCAATGATGGATTATTGGCCAGATTTGCAGTACTAGGCATGTATTTCT